CGCTCAGGGGTGGGGGCCAGGGGGGAGGACATTGGGTCCCCCCCCCTTATTCCAATTTAGGGCCCCCACCCGCCGCTCAGGGGTGGGGGCCAGGGGGGAGGACATTGTGTCCCCCCCTTATTCCAATTTAGGGCCCCCACCCACCGCTCAGGGTCCCCCCCCATCATATTACTTTAGGGCCCCCACCAGGGGTGGTGGCCGGGGGGGGCAAAAGGTCCCCCCTTTAGTTTAAAAGCCCCCACTCGCACATCACGGGTGGGGGCTCGGGAGGTGGGACCCTATTTTATTTATTTTTTTAAACAGTGAGCAGCCACAGGCTGCTCACTGTTTAATAGACATGCCCCTACTCGTGGTATAGTAATTATTACTTAGTATTAGTAAATTTGGCTGAAATTTTGGAATGCCAAGCCGAACCAAAAATTTTCCCCATGCACATGCCTAACATCTAGGTGTAACCATGGAAGTTTATGTTTTCCCAAGCCATCCTGACCAATCTACCAAGAACCCAACCCTGACTGGTCACTTCTTTCACAATGTTACAGTAGAGCTGGAGGGAAGAGATCAAAGGGAAATACTTGTGTAAAGACAGAACTCTCTGGAAAAAGAGAGCAGGATAAACCACTCTTGGGAAGGACAAAGGGATTCTGGGAATTGTAATTCATGACAGCAAGAATCAGTCTTTAAAAGGACAACAGCCAAGGAGATTGGGCCCCTCTCTCTCCCTTTGTCTCTTTTGGAGAGGACAGCGCAGCACAGGAGACTGTCCCAGATTACTACCAAGATAAGACCCAAGGGGACGACCTCCATTTAAACGTTTATGTATTTAAATGTTAAGGATTAAGTACATTTTATTATACACTTGTGTTTGTGTCTTATTTGTCACCCATTCCCTAAACGAATATCCTTGAAAGAGGGTCATAATTTCTAACACTGGGAGTTAAAGAAAATCTGTCACTATACGTTATTTTAGTTTACCATACTTCGAAAAACTAATCAGACCTGTGACTACGAAGTATCATACTGTTTGACAAGGATCTAAAAAGGCATTTTGAGAATGCTATCATTTTTTAAAACTTTCTTTAGCTTTGTGAAATTAAATTTCGCCCATGAAACTTCATCGACCTACTTAATACTGCTGTACCTCAGTAATGATTACCAGCTTATAGATGGGAAAAAAATATATATATATCTGCTACTAACATATTGCATCTTTTCAATGTCTGCAAACATGGTTCAAGATAACAGTCCCTACCTTCTCCACAATAAATGAAAATTCATTATCAAACTGGAGTTTGATATATATTTTTTCAGTTCAATCAACAATCACTTGTAACACTTCCTTTGTGGTGTATCTCCTTATCTGCCATTGTGAGCAGCAATATGTGGGCCAAACGATCAGGTCATTGAAGTGTAGGTTTCGGGAACACAGAACAGCTATAATTCGTAATGACACAAGTTCTTCAGTAGCCCGACACTTTGCTACCTTCCATGAGAACAACCCATTTGGTATTAAACTTATGGGAATAGTACACATTCCTCCCCACCAGGATGGAGCCAAAAGGAAAAGGGAATTAATTAAGGCTGAATCAGTGTGGATATTTAGGCTTAATTCTATGACATCTGTGACGGTAGTAGAAAATATCCCCGTCAAGCATTCCCTTCTTCCCATAAAAGAAAAGCACTCAATATTCCATAAGTAGAAATATCCCTGGAATCGCTGAATAATCCACACATGAGCCAAAACTTAATGCTGGAACAAGACTGATTTACTGGCACACAGAACTCAAAATTTATGCAACACAAAACTCCTCCTCTGGGCCAGGCTAGATAATTGAGTTTCTGCAATACACAAAGCTCAATTATCTGCTGGCCAGAAACATTACAATTTTTAACAATTTCAGAAACATACTTTTTACAAGACATACAAATATACTTTTAACATCCCTGGGTAGCTGAGGATACTGGTAGTCACATATCCAAATCTCACGAATTTCCGTTCGGTAGTTTCCGTGTCGCATCGTGTGGAAGTTTGACCGGCTTGCCATGTGGAGGTATCCGAGTTAGAGTTCCATAGAATCAGTAGCAAGAGCCGGTCTCCGTTCGCATCTAACTACACGAAAACCACCGTTCGTATGGTGCAGCTGGTTACCTGTGAATGTTCCCCTCATTCGGTAGATGCTATCTACCGAACACCAGTTTGATTCGTGGAGGGGAACGCATTCATCCAGGACTTCCATGGGGACCGGGCGTTCGCATGTTTCCCGTACCGAAAACAGTTCCATGCAATTCATGCGTAAGCCCCGCTGACCGCATTCGTGAGTTTTAAGATGGCTGCCATCCTTTGTTCTCGCCATGTGTTCGTATGTCGAATGGCGGCCACCTAGTAGCAATTAAGTTGTGCTTTCTCTTTGTTCTAATTGCTACTTGCTACCCAGGGTGTGTGGTCCCCTTTCGGTAAACGAATACATTTATTCTCAACATTTTGAACCGAACAAATACAGACATTAAAACAGCAGGGAGAGGGTTAAGCTCAAAGCATATAGGCAAATACATAAAAGTCCTTCACAACATCTAATGGTCTAAATGAGGAGTTAGAATTATTTTAATGTTTTAAATGTTCTAATTTAGCTTTCACATATATATTTGTACCATCTTTTATGTCCAGGGTTTTTTTTCCCCCTTTTTGTTCCCCATTTAGGATATAGCAGCATTTTTTACTGTATGTTATATATATATATATATATATATATATATATATAATTATATATATATATATATGTATATATATATAT